GTCTGTCACTGATGGACATTTGGGTTGGATTTCAAGTCTTTGCTCTTGTAATTAGTGCCACAATAAGATTTTTCAAGTGTAGGGGGTTGTGGCTCTGACCCACAGCATGTGTTTTAAAGTCAACTATATATCATATTAAATGGTGTCATTTTAAATGAGCTGAAGTGTTTGTAATTGTTACATGAGGTGACTCTGATAAAACCGCAATTATTAATTTATCTTTAAAATAATTCGGTTATGTGTCGTATTAAGAAAGAACGGTAATTTTTTTTTTTTTTTTTGAGACAGAGTCTTGCTCTGTGGCCTAGGCCTGGGAGTGGCATTGTACGATCTCGCTCACTACAAACCTCCACTCCTAGGTTCAAGTGATTCTCCTGCCTCAGTCTCCCGAGTAGCTTGGGACTACAGCAGTCATATGCCACCATGCCCAGCTAGTTTTTTGTATTTTTAGTAGAGATGGGGTTTCACCCAGTTAGCCCAGGATGGTCTCAATCTCCTGACCTCATGATCCACCTACTTCTGCCTCCCAAAGTGATGGATTACAGGCGAGCCACCACGCCCGGCCTGTGAATTTTCTTTTTAAGAAATGTTTCCTTCTATCTTTGTAGCCATGTTATAATATATTAGTATGTGAACAAGCATCTACAGCTGCCAACTTCATACCATTCCTTCACAAGATCCCTTTTAGTTTACCGTAGGCAGTAACCTCAGAAACAATTAGGGAAGTATGTTTCTTTGACCTGGATAATTAAATGCCAAGAAAACTCACCATTCAACATCAACATACAAATATGTAATTCACTCAACATCTTGTTGTTTGAAGGAGCCAGTGTTCATACATAGGATGGAGTGAATTCCTAACATTTGGCATGAGCTGTGTACTTGGCCTCACCATAATAGCATTACATTCATGGTCAGAATGACAGCTAAATGGATTGACGGAGTTTGTCTGTAATGGGCCAGATTCTTGACTAGAGCATAATGAATCAGAATGTTATAACCTCTGGTCACATACACACTGGCCTGTTGCTCCTTACAGGCTATATCAGGGGATATGGAGTAAATTTCTGTTGTCAGATCTAATGGTGAAAGATTCTGGGTTCTAACTTACTGGGAAAGCAAAGTAGAATTTCCATTCCAATAATCTGGATCAAAATATTTCCTGATCACTGTGGTCAGGAATTTATTCTGTCACTTAATTAAACCCAAAGCATTGCAAATCATGTCAGTAAGCAAAAGAGAGACTGCCTCCTCAACCTTGAAGCCAGTTCTTGAGACAAGTATCTTATAAAGTTAGTCAAGTTCTAGGATATACATTAAAGGAGGTTTTCTCTAGGGCTTTTTTTTTTTATTGGTTAAACAAAGATTAAAGCAAATGGCAAACAAAGACATAGTTAAGAGTTACAAGAGAAATTAAAATGCAAGTTCAAATTCACACAAACGAATGAGAAGCAGAATTCTCACCACAGAAGTTCCCCAACACAATGAAATAAAAACCTGAAATCTGGGAAAAGGATTAACAATGTAATTCATATTATTTGAACTTTTTCTTCAGCTTTGAAAGTTAATTGTAAAGTTTTCTGAGTTAAGGGCTCTTGAATAGTGAAAAGAACGAATATTCATTGATTTTTGTTTTTCCACTTTTTAGTATATTCATTTCATTTACATCAATATATGCAAGCTTTAGCAAAGCCCAAAGTGACTGAAAATAGAGCTACAATAAAATGGCCTTTGTTGATGGCTATGCATCACACTTCTGTGTATCCAAAATCAACATTTGTTCAAGGTATTAAATTATCCTTGTCATCCACTATGTTTTACAAACTTCCACAGGGAGAATTGTAACTAAGCTAATGTTTGCAAGGATTTGTAGGTGTCTACTGTTAATGTGCATGGAGTAAACAGTTTTACTGCCCTGCACTCTTCATTTTCTCCTTGGAGTTTTGAAGACATGATGATATGCCTCAAGAGAGTAGCTGTTTCCTGATGACATGCATTTATTAAGGAAATGCACATAAACTTCATGGGGAGGTAGGCAGCACATTTTTAAGGATTTGAACTGATTTGAACACATTCCATAATGATTGCTTTCTGAAGCAGACAGCAATGTGTACTCTGTATTTTAAAACACTGAAACTAACATTTGAGTATGTTAAGGTCAATTTGCAACAATTTCACTAGGAAGAGATCATTCAAGAGGCATGACAAAAAATGGCTACACAGTTGAAAAGTGAACATGAGGGTTTTAGCATCCTGCAAGTTGCTCTGTAACACACATTCTGGAAAAATACTGTAGCTAAGCAGAGAGGGGAGGGGAGATAGAGTGAGTTAAAACCACTTAGTAATTAGATTTCAGGTTATGATAGGAAGACGGCTATATATGTGTGAAAACTGCAAAACTGTACCTTGATTTCAGCTTTAATCAGTAAATCCAGGGCATTTTAAAGCTATTTAGAGCAATTAATCGTTGATGGCATTGGGGGACAATTTTACAACTAATGACATAAAATATACAAAGTATTTATTAAACCTTTTTATCTATTAGAATTTACTTGTTAACTCAATTTTGTAGTAATTAAAACATCATAAGCATCTCAAAACTGTTTCAAACTTTTCAAAGCTGTGCATTCCACTCCAAAGCCCATAATACCATTGTAGGTGTTCTGTCCAGAAGGAAAATTAATATGGAGGAATAAAACATAGGGAGGAGACACTTTTGCATATCATTTTAACTATGTTCACATAATGCTTGTAGATGTGCCAACAAATAGTGAATTTGAGATCTATAGAACCCTTCAGTCTTATGGAACCCTTCAGTCTTATGATGGAACATATCATCCCATCTTTTAAGGAAAAAGAGCTACTTTCTGGCTAATTACTTACATTAGCCCATCAGAAGACGAAAGTATCTATACAGTTTTTATTCAATTATTTTATCTGCCATTGGGCAATGTTTTTCAAGAAATATTTCAAAACTTTACTTGGAAAATATCACTTGTTTTAGGAAAAAACAAAGTATGAATAAATATTTAAATATGAAAATTGTAATTTTCATTGTATGTCTAAAAAGCAGAAACAACTGATAAGGCCCTAGTTATAGCCTTTGTGTAAGACCTTTTCCCTTTCTTCACTATGACTTGGGAAAGTAGAGACAAATCTGTCTAGTTCAGTAGTGTTCCTAAGAAATGGAGTGATGGCTGTTCTTTTACATTGCCCTGTAAATCAGAGGTTTCACTTATGTACTGGCCATAGAACTGGTGTGTACATAACAACCATTAACTAGGCCACATTCACTCAAAGAAAACATGTTTTTAATTTGGTATTTTGCAGTATATATGGTCCCAAAGAATACATACAATAATTGACTTTCCACATCAGTGATTCTAGAATCATGAAAACACACATGCACAGAGACATAAAGAAAAGAAATAACAGTAAAGCTCCATCTTTAAGCCAAGTGAAACATGTGGCTTCTTGCAGTCTAAACTTTTCTGACATTGCTTTAAAAGAATCCAAATTCCAATATAATTGTATGTGCAAAAGTTAGAAAGCATAGACTATCAATTCACTGCAGCACTAAAGATGCATTCTCTTTTATAAAAGGTCACTATATATTTGTTTTCTGAAGGAAAACTTTTTCATCTCACAAGGAAAAGGAGGTAATGTGCTGTATCCCAAGCACTTACCACAGTGACTGGAAAACAGGGAATGGATAAGCTTTTGTTGAATCAATAAATACATGACTAAGATGTCCATGTGATGTCAATGCATTTTTACCTCCCGTTAGCAATTTTAGCATGGGCTTTGTGGTGTTATTTAATAGGCCACATTTAAAGTCATAATATATTGAGTTTTTGAATTGTTATTGATGCTACTTAATGTTCAAAATGGTAAAGGAGTGTACATGTGAAATAGAGTTTCTCAATCTGAAAATCACAGTTCCATTATTTTTTTTTCTTTTAACTCATCTGTATTTGTTACAACTTCAAGCCGAATGTGACTCAAGCACTACATTTTCATCCACAAGACTGGGTCTGAGTTATTTTTGAACAGCTTTATGATATGCTTAGGTAGGCTTATAACTTTGCTCTTCCAAAGAATACTTTTCTTTGGAAAACAAGCCCTGTGGAGAGTTCCTTCCATCAAGTTGCTTCAGTTTAACCTATCTCTAGAGGACTAGTACATGCAGAATTGGCAACTACAGGGGATAAAAAGTTCAAAATGTAGATCCTACAAGATGTAACAAATACTTTTCAAAACATCAAGGTATAGCTCAGGAACACTTCGATAACAAGATTTGGTCTACTTAGGAATCCGGCTTGATAGCCAAACACTTTAGACCACAAAGTTAACATCACGTTACATACATCTTACAACACACGTTACCCTAATCTGTTAAAATAAACCAATGTGAAACTAAAAGAGCATTACTAGCTCTGCTTTAGTGCCTAAGGCATCACAGCATCACTTAGGAGTAGACAGAAATCTTATCTTCCCCTTAAAGTAGTTGTTGTCATGCCACACAGACTTTTTAATATTAACAAAAATAAAGGAAAACATCCTTGAAAATATATTATCAGAGGAATTATAGAGTGTTGAACAGGTAAGTAATCCCTCAGCCGGAGGTTAATCTACTTCTTCCATGTGTGACGTGTCGTGATCTCATTCGAGCGGCGGCATTTCTTCAGTTACAGCTGCACTGGTATCATCAGCAGTAGGTCATCTTCACCAATACCCAGACCAAGTTTGATCATCCTGTAGATCCTGTTAGCATGTGTCTGGTGATCTTCCAGACCGAAGCCAGAAGACAGGAGCATAGTTTCGTAAAGCAAGATGACCAGATCCTTCACAGACTTGTCATTCTTAATCAGACTCTGCCTTTTGCCTTAAGGTCTCAATAATGGAATGGTCAGGGTTTATCTCCAGGTGTTTCTCTGCTGCCATGTAACCCATTGTTGAGTTGTCTCTTAGGGCTTGAGTTTTCATGATTCTCTCCATGTTTGCTGTCCAGCCATATGTGCTTGTGACAATACAGCATGGAGACGTCACCAATCAGTTTGACACAACCACCTTTTCAACTTTTTTCTTCAATATGTCTTTCATGATTTTTCAGAGGTTCTCAAACTTTGTTTTTTTTTTCCTCTTCCTGTTTCTTTTTCTCTTCTTCACCTTTGGCATCCTGGTGCTGCTGTATTGTGGACCCTGTGCAGTCTCTTAGCCAAGATGCCTGAGGAAACCCAGACCCAAGATCAACCGATGGAGGAGGAGGAGGTTGAGATGTTCGCCTTTCAGGCAGAAATTGCCCAGTTGATGTCACTGATCATCAATACTTTCTACTCAAACAAAGAGATCTTTCTGAGATAGTTCATTTCAAATTCATCAGATGCATTGGACAAACTCTGGTATGAAAGCTTGACGGATCCCAGTAAATTAGACTCTGGGAAAGAGCTGCATATTAACCCTGTACCAAACAAACAAGATCAAACTCTCACTATTGCGGATACTGGAATTGGAATGACCAAGGCTGACTTGATCAATAACCTTGGTACTGTCACCAAGTCTGGGACCAAAGCGTTCATGGAAACTTTGCAGGCTCGTGCAGATATCTCTATGATTGTCCAGTTCTGTGTTGGTTTTTATTTTGCTTATTTGGTTGCTGAGAAAGTAAATGTGATCACCAAACATAATGATGATGAGCAGTATGCCTGGGAGTCCTCAGCAGTGTGAATAATCATTCACAGTGAGAACAGACACAGGTGAACCTATGGGTTGTGGAACAAAGGTTATCCTACACCAGAAGGAAGACCAAACTGAGTACTTGGAGGAATGAAGAACAAAGGAGATTGTGAAGAAACATTCTCAGTTTAGTGGATATCCCATTATTCTTGTTGTGGAGAAGAAATGTGATAAAGAAGTCAGCGATGATGAGGCTGAAGAAAAGGAACACAAAGTAGAAGAAAAAGAAAAAGAAGAGAAAGAGTCTGAAGACAAACCTGAAATTAAAGATGTTGGTTCTGATGAGGAAGAAGAAAAGAAGGATGGTGACAAGAAGAAGAGGAGGAAGATTAAGGAAAAGTACATAAATCAAGAACTCAACAAAACAAAGACCATCTGGACCAGAAATCCCAGTGATATTACTAATGAGGAGTACGGAGAATTCTACAAGAGCTTGACCAATGACGGGGAAGATCACTTGACAGTGAAGCATCTTTCAGTTGAAGGACTGTTGGAATTCAGAGTCCTTCTATTTGTCCCACAACGTGCTCCTTTTGATCTGACTGAAAACAGAAAGAAAAAGAACATCATCAAATTGTATGTTTTCATCATGGATAACTGTGAGGAGCTAATCCCTGAATATCTGAACTTCATTAGAAGGGTGGTAGACTTGGAGGATCTCCCTCCAAATATTTCCCATGAGATGTTGCAACAAAGCAAAATTTTGAAAGTTATCAGGAAGAATTTGGTCAAAAAATGCTTATAACTCTTTCCTGAACTGGCAGAAGATAAAGAGAACTACAAGAAGTTCTATGAGCAGTTCTCTAAAAACATAAAGCTTGGAATACACGAAGACTCTCAAAATCAGAAGAAGCTTTCAGAGCTATTAAGTTACTACACATCTGCCTCTGGTGATGAGATGGGTTCTCTCAAGGACTGCTGCACCAGAATGAAGGAAAACCAGAAACATATCTATTATATCACAGGTGAGACCAAGGACCAGGTAGCTAACTCAGCCTTTGTGGAAAGTCTTTGGAAACATGGCTTAGAAGTGATCTATATGATCGAGCCCATTGATGAATACTGTGTCCGACAGCTGAAGGAATTTGAGGGGAAGACTTTAGTGTCAGTCACCAAAGAGGGCTTGGAAGTTCAATTTTTTTAAACATTTTTCTTTTTTATGAAGCTAATATTCTAGAGGAAGAAGAGAGGTAAATGCTATATAGTAAATAAATAGGTAAATGTTAAATATAACTTTGAATAGTCTTCAATGAACAGAAAGGGGGAAATTTTAGTATGGAATAAGAGGGATCTGGCTAAAGGAAGAGATGCTGAGACCCCTGGAAGACTCAGCCATGGCACTGCCTGGGGTGGCTGCTTTGGGTGGAGAGGGCTTCAGGGAGAACACTCAGTTGGAAGGACCTGCTGGGTCTAGGTCTTCTTCCCGGGCATGCACCTCAGGCCAGGTATGTGGGCACCTACAGGGCGGAGGCACCAGACCACCTTAAAAACGACCCCTAACATTCGCTTTCACTCTGAGACTGTTTGAAACGCTGGCTGCAAAGGAGGCTGGTCTTGAGGCTGGCTAGTCAGGAGGCTGCCTAAGGGGGTCCATGATATTGGTGACAAGGGAGGCTGGTTCTGAAGCTGACTGACTAAGCGGCTGGCTAACAAAATTACTGAGAGGCTTCCTGGAAGGTTGGCCAAGGTGCTGGCTGCATGGGAGGCTGGTCTAGTGAAGGACTGTCTTGAAAAGCGACATAGAGGCTTGCTGAGAGGGTGGCTCGCTGCGAGGTTGGCCAAGAGCCTTGTGAGAGGCTGTCTGAGAGGCTGCAATGAATACTTTATCAAAGGCCTGCTGAGATCCTGGCAGGCTCAATCTGGCTAAGAGTCTGAATACAAGGCTGGCTTCTTACGAGCCTGGCCTAGAGGCTGGCTGCACGGGAGGCTAACCCCGTGGCTGTCAAGGGAACTGGTAGAGTGGCAGATTGGCTGTGCAAGAGGCTTGCTGCATGGCTGTTAAAAACGCTGGCTGCATAGGAGGATGGTCTGGAAGTTGGCTGGATTAAAGATTTGCTTAGAGGCTTTCTGAAAGGCTGGATCACAGGCTGGCTGGCTGGGAGCCTGAACGGGAGTCTGAGAGACTGAGCGGCTGCCTTCAACGCTTCCTAAAATGCTTTTTTGAGTTTCACAAGATGAATTTGCCTAGGAGGCTGGGTACCAGGTCGGTCTTTTTGGAGGCTGGCCTAGAGCTTGACTGCATGGGAGGCTGGTCGAATGACAGCAGAAGGAGAGGCTTGCCGGAACACTGTTCAGAATGCTGGCTGCATGGGACGCTGGTCTTCAGGCTGGCTGGCTAGGAGGCCAACACAGAGGCTTGCTGAGATGCTCGTAAACAACCCGGATGAGAGACTGGCCGATTAGGAGGCTGGCAGAGAGCCTGTGTGAGAGGCTGTCTGTCTGAAAGACTGCCTTAAATTCTTGCTAAAAGGCTTGCTGAGAGCCTTGTAGGTTGAGTCCACCTAAGACGGGTGTCAGGCTGGCTGGTTAGGAGACTGGCTGCAAGGTACCGTGAAAGCCTAATGGCTCTGCTCAACAAATTTCTCCCGGGAAAGGACAGCGTCCAAGGGCTTCACCAGACTGCGATTCCTACTGGAGTGGGGCCGGGTGTGGCACAGAAGGGCAAAAACAAGCAGCCGGGACTAGGGAATGGCAAGTGGGAGGCACAGGCTCTCTCTTAACAGGTGGCCTCAGCTATGGAGAGGCTCTCTGCCACTGCTGTCAAGGGCATGATGAACCCGGACCACCCAAGCACCTTTGGTCAGCTGCTACACCAAACACTCTTAAGTCATTCACTGTGGGCAACTCAGGAAGATCCACAAAGCTGCCTCCTGGGGACACAGCTGGAAGCTATCGGGGATGACGGTGAAGACGAAGAAAATGGACCTGAGCATAAGAGATGCGAAGAAGAGGTGCCATGCCCTGCCTGAGCTGGGGCTGCAGAAGGAGGTGACAGCTGTTGGAGGATTGCCCATTCAGCATGGGTTGTGGGGGTTCCGGGGATGAAGTGAGCAGGTGAAGTGAGGCGGCAGCAAGGCGGCAATCCTGGGCCCCGGGGTTTGGGCCTTCTTCCCAGGCATGCCCCCCAGGCCAGGGATTTGGGCACCTGCAGGGTAGAGAAACCAGACCACCTTAAAAGCAATCCCAAACATTCCAAACATTCGCTGCTTTCTCCTTCTTCACTCTCACTGAGGCTCTTTGAAATGCTGGCTGTAAGAGAGGCTGGTCTTGAGGCTGGCTCGTCAGGAAGGTGCCTCAAGGGCTCTCTGAGAGGCTTACGGGGAGGCTGGCCATGACACTGGTGGCATGGGAGGCTGATTCTGAAGCTGATTGGTTAAGCGGCTGGCTGGAAAGCTGGCCAAGGGCTGGCTGAATGGGAGGCTGGTCTAGTGAAGGAGTGTCTTAGAAAGTGGCATAGAGGCTTGCTGAAAGGCTGCCTCGCAGGGAGGCTTGGCTGACAGCCTGTGTGAGAGGCTCTGTGTCGCAGAGGCTGCCATAAACACTTGGTAAACGGCCTGCTGAGATCCTGGCAGGCTGAATCTGGCTAAGAGTCTGAATGCAAAGTTGGCAAGTTAGGAGCCTGGCCTAGATGCTGGCTGCATGGAAGGCTGAGAGGCTGGCGAGGAAAGTGGCAGGGTGGCAGATTGAGAGTGGAAGAGGCTTGCTGGATGGCTGTTAACCATCGCTACATGGGAGGTTGGTGTGGAAGCTGCCTGGATGGGAGATTCGCTTACAGGCTTTCTTAAAGGCTAGATCAGAGGTTGCATGTCCGACAGCCTGTCTGAGAGCCTGTGTGAGAGTCTGTCTGAGAGGCTACTATCTTCAATGCTTTCTAAAATGCTTCCTGAGAGTCTGGCAAAATGAGTTTAGCTAGGAAGCTGGCTGTCAGGCTGGTTTTGTGGAGGCCAGCCTAGAGTCTGCCTGCATGGAAGGATGGTCGAATGATGGGTTTTCTGGCAGGAGGAGAGGCTTGCTTGAAGGCTGATCAGAAAGCTCACTGCATGGCGGGCTGACTAGGAGGCCGACAGAGCCTTGCCCAGAACCTAGAAAGGCTGGTCGACTAGGAGACTGGCAGAGAGCCTGTGTGAGAGGCTATCTGTCTGAGAAGCTGCCTTAAATTCTGGCTAAAAGGCTTGCTGAGAGCCTGGTAGGCTGAGTCTGGCTAAGAGCCTGGGTGTCAGGCTGGCTTGTTAGGCAGGCCAAGAAACTGGCTGCAAGGTACTGTGAAAGCCTAACAGCTCTGCTCAATGAATTTCTCCTGGGAGAGGCCAGAGTGTCCAAGGGCTTTGCCAGACTGTGATTTCAACTGGTGTCAGGCCGGGTTTGTCGATGAACAAGGGCGAGGATGAGTGGTAGGGCCTGGGAAATGGCAAGAGGCAGATGGGAGCTCTCAACAGCTGGCCATGGCCATGGAGAGGCTCTCTGCTGCTGCTGTCAAGGGCGGGATGAGTCTGGAGAACCCAAGCACTTTCATTCAGCTAGTCTACACCAAAGACTCAAGTAATTCACTAAGGAGAACTCACAAAGATAAACAAAGCTGCCTCCCGGGCCATGGCTGCAAGCTACAGGGGATGATGGTAAAAATGACAATGGACCTGAACATAAGAGATGCGAAGAAGAGGTGCCATGCCCTACCTGAGCTGGGATTGTAGGAGATGACAGCTGTGGGAGAATTGCCCCTTCAGAGTGGGGTGTGGGGGGCCCGAGGACAGAGTGATCAGATGGAGGAGTGAAGCCGTGGCGGGGAAGCAATCCTGGGTCCTGGGGTCTGGGCCTTCTTCCTGGGTAGTCCCCCCAGGCCTGGGATGGGGGCGCCCTACAGGGCGGAGGGACCAGTCCAACTTAAAAGCAACCCTAACATTCACTGCTTTCTCCTTCAGTCCCACTGAGGTTGTTCAAAATGCTGGCTGCAAGGGAGGCTGACCTTGAGGCTGGCTATTCAGGAGGCTTCCTAAGGGGCTCTCTGAAAGGTTTACAAAAAGGCTGGCCATGACATTGGTGGCATGGGAGGCTATTCTGAAGCTGGCTGGCTAAGCGGCTAACAGTACTGAGAGGCTTGCTGGAAGGCTGGCCAAAGCACTGGCTGCATGGGAGGCTGTTCTAGTGAAGGACTGTCTTGGAAAGTGGCATAGAGGTTTGCTGAGAGGCTCATTGGGAGGCTGGCCGAGAGCCAGTGTTAGACACTTTCTGACAGGATGCCATAATCGCTTGCTGAAAGTCCTGCTGACATCCTGGCCGGCTGAATGTGGCTAAGACTCTGAATGCAAGGATGGCTTATTAGGAATCTGGTCTAGAGGCTGGCTTCATGGAAGGTTAACCCAGAGGCTGGTAACAAAAATGGTAGAGTGGCAGATCGGCTGTGCAAGACGCTTGCTGGATGGCTGTTAAAAATGCTGGCTGCATGGGAGGTTGGTCTGAAAGCTAGCTGGATGAGAGATTTGCTTAGAGCCTTTCTGAAAGTCTGCATCAGAGGCTAGCTAGCTGGGAGCCTGAGAGCTTTTGTGAGAGGCTGTCTGAGAAGCTGCCTTCAATCCTTCCTAAAACACTTCCTGAGAGTCTGGCAAGATGAATTTGGCTAGAAGGCTGGGTTGTAGGCCTGTTTTTTCGAGGCCGGCCTAGAGCCTGGCTGCATGGAAGGATGGTCAAAATGACGGGTTTCCTGGCAGGCTCTCGGCGAGGCTTGCTGGAAAGCTATTCGGAATGCTGACTGCATGGCAGGCTGGTCTGCAGGCTAACTTGCTGGAGACCGACACAGAGGCTTGTTGGGATGCTTGCCAAGAACCCAGAGGAGAGGCTGGCCAACTACCAGGCTGCTGGAGAGCCTGTGAGAGAGGCTGTCTGAGAGGCTGCCTTAAATTCTTGCTAAAAGGCTTGCTGAGAGCCTGGTAGGCTGTCCAGCTAAGGGACTGTGTGTCAGGCTGGCTTGTTAAGAGGCTGGCCTAGAGGCTGACTGCAAGGTACTGTGAAAGCCTAATGGCTGTGCTCAAGGAATTTCTCCCGGAAGAGACCAGAGTGTCCAAGGGCTTTGCCAGACTGTGATTTCAACTGGTATCAGGCCGGGTGTGTCGACAAAGAAGGACGAGGATGAGTGGTGCATCCCCGCCT